CTACCCCAAAGATCGATCTGGGGCTAGGGTAGGGGTGGGTTCCCTTAAGTGGCTTAGCCTGCTGGATTTAGAAAGGTGGCCCAGTGGGCTTGCATTGGTGATAGTCCTCCCAACCCCTGGTGGGCTTAGTTTAAAGCCCAGTCAAGCAGGCCGGCCAGTCTGGCTGAGAAGAGCCTCCTTCCCAGCAGAGTGAGGTGGAGGCCATCTCTCCCCAGCAGGCCAGCAGGATGTGGGATGAGTGTTGAATGCTAACATATAATGTCACAGTAATTTGCATAATACCATTATCCAGAAACTCTGTTCTCATATAGTACCAAAGTGGGTGAGATGTTGGAACAGGAAATATTTTTGGAAATGTTTCTAAAGGTGGGGAAAGCAGTGGAATAAATAGAATGCAGAGTTTTCACTTGAGCTTCTTTTTGTGTCTTGGCTTATATGTTTTAGGACAAGTGTTCTCGTGGATTTGAGAAACTTAATAGACTTGGGTTCAAAAGTAGTTTTTCATCAGAGTTTAAAAGTGCAGCTTTGCTTTTGCAATTATGAACTGTTTGAGGTGGGGAGGGGAGGCTGCAGTAGCATCCCTCTAACTTGAAACTTGTTATGGAAACCAATATGTAGATGAAAGGAACTGGCACAGGAGGTCTTGGAGCTGTTGGAGATAATATTTATGAAATCATAGGTGACGGGAGGTACAGAGGACTGGGAGAGGTCCAGTATAGTGCCCTTCTTAAAAAAAAAAAAAAAAAAAAGGAGGGAAAAAAGAAGAACCCGGGGAAATACAGACTGGTTAGCCTCACATCAGGATCCCAGAGGTTTTGGGAGCATGTCATAAAAGAAGCCCATTTGCAAAAATCTGGAGGAGGAAAGGCTAATCGTAAGCAGCTAGCATGGATTTATTGACTATTAGTCGTGCCAATAAAACTTGATTATAAATGAATCATAGAATCTTAAAAAGTTAGGGTTGGAAGGGGCCTCAAGAGGTCATCTAGTCCAAGCCCCTGCTCAAATCAGGACCATCCCCAACTAGATCATCCCAACCAAAGCTTTGTCCAGTCGGGTTTTGAAAACCTCCAAGTATGGAGTTTCTACCACCTCTCTGGGTAACCTGTTCCAGTGTTTTACTACCCACCTAGTGAGAAAATTGTTCCCAATATGCAACCTAAACTTCCCTTACTGCAACTTGAGGCCATTCCTCCTTGTTACGTCATCTGCCACCACTGAGAACAGCCTAGGTCCATCCTCTTTTGAACTCCTCTTCAGGTAGTTGAAGGCTGTTATTAAGTCCCCTCTCAGTTTTCTTCTCTAGACTAAATAAGCCCAGTTCCCTAAGTCTTTTCTCATAGGTCATGTTCCCCAGCCCCCTCACCATTTTGGTTGCCCTCTGCTGGACTCTCTCCAATTTGTTCACATCCTTTTTGTAGTTGTGGGGTGGGGGTGGGGGGCACAACTGAACAAGGACTCCAGATGTGGCCTCACCAGCGCTGAATAGAGGGGAATAATCACTTTCCTTGACTTACTGGCAATACATCTACTGATGCAGCCCAGTATGCCGTTAGCCTTCTTGGGAACAAGGGCACACTGCTGGCTCATATTCAGTTTACAGTCCACTTTCACTCCCAGGCCCTTTTCTGCAGAGCTGCTGCCCAGCCAGTCAGCCCCAGCCTGTACTGGTGCATGGGATTGTTCCGTCCTAAGTGCAGGACTTTGCAGTTGTCATTGTTGAACCTCATGAGATTACTTTTGGCCCAATCCTCCAATTTGTCTAGGTCATTCTGAATCCGAACCCTACCTTCCTGCATATCTACTGCTTCTCCCAGCTTGGTGTCGTCTACAGATTTGCTGAGGGTGCACTCGATGCCATCTTTCAGGTCACTGAACAAAACTGGCCCCAGGACCAGGCCCTGAGGCACTCCACTTGATCATGCCTGCCAACTAGACATCGAGCCAGTGATTGCTACTTTCTGAGTCTGATATTCCAGCCAATTTTCTATCCATCTTACAGTACATTAATCCTGACCATATTTCCTTAGCTTGCCTGGGAGAATGTTGTGGGAGAACATATCAAAAGCCTCGCTAAAATCAAGGTACACCACTTGCAGTCCATATCACAATTGAAAGAAGTTTTGCATGGAGTCCTGTGGGGATCTGTCTTGGGCCCAGTGCTGTTCAATGTGTTTATTTAATGATTTGGATGATGGAATTAAGAACTTTCTGAGCAAATTAGCAGATGACAAGAAACTGGGAAGGATTGTGAACGTGGAGGACAGGAGAACAATTAAGATCTGCTAGTTTTTCTAGATCACAGATTTGATATGAGTCTGCGGTGTCACACAGCTACCCAAAAGGCAGCTGTAGTTTTTAGGATGCATCAATAGAAGCATTAGGTGCACAACATGGGAGGTGATGGTGCTTCTCTACACAACACAAGTTAGGCCTTATCTAGAGTGTCATGTACAGTTGTGGGCTCTATGTTTTAAAAATGACACTGAGAACTTAGGGTCCAGAGGTGAGTGACAAAAATGATAAAGGGCTTGGAAGACCAGTCATATGACAAGAGGTTGAAGGAAATAGGCATGTTCAGCTTGCAGAAAAGATATTTAAGCGTGGGCATGATATTAGTCTTCAAATATCTGAAGAGTTGCCAGAGAAAAGGTGGTTTCCCTCTTCTTTATCTCTGCAGAGAGTAGGATGCTGACCAGTGGCTTGAAGTTGCAGCAAATTAGGTTTAGAGTGGATATTAGGAGGAACTTCTTCACTGACAGTGAGGCAGTGGTATTGACTGCCTAGGGAAGTTGTGGAACCTCCATCACTGAAGTTGTTCAAGAAGAGGCTGGCATTGGTCTGAGATGATTTAGGATGATTTAGCTATGTCCATCCCCTACTGTAGGTAATCCCCATGCTTATATGCTTTACTGGTTCTCACATAGGACTGGGAAGGAATTGTTTTTCTCCTTCTCTTGCTCCTGTATGTATCAGGGTATTTTTTTCTACCTTCTTCAGAAGCATTGAGCATTGGATACAGCCAAGGCTGAGGATTTTGACTGGGGTATGCCAGTGCTCCTTCTGGGACTCAAACCTGGAGATTCCTGGCTAGAGGGATTTGTCTCTCTGCTCAAGGTCAGTCTGATTGCCATATCAGGAAGGCTCAGGAATGAATTTATCCTGGTCAGATTGGTGTGGATTGGGGCTTTTCCTTGTATCCAGTCTGAAACCACCTTCTAGGAGTTTATGACAGTTGCTCCTAGTTTTCCCCTGGGGCGCTTTGGTGAATAGTTGATCACCTAGCCCCTGATGTTCTCCTCTGATATATTTGTAAGGTGCCACCAAATCTCCCCTGAAGTCTTCTCTTTTCTAGGCTGAACAGTTCTATATCTGTCATGCTTTCCTCGTATGGCTTGCTCTTCAGGCCTCTGATCATATGAGTGGCTCTTCTCTGGACTCTCTCAAGCTTCTCCACATTTTGCTTTCCTGTAGCTGGGGGTGTAGCCCTCTTCCTTGAATCTCTCCAGCATAGTCTAATCCATTACGCAGCAGCAGGATGTTGGCCCCTATGGTTCCCCTGCTTTACCTATGTCATGTTAGGGTGTTGCATCTTATGTTAGGGTTGACTTTGTAGTTTTGCTGATTGGTTAGAGTTAGACCATGGATTTGCATAGGGTTGTTTGGGTAGGGTTGATTGTGCCTTAGGCAGGGGGTTGGACTAGATGACCTCTGCCAGAGATCCATTCCAGCCTACTTCTCTGATTCTTTTAACATGACTAGGTGTTGCTTTTGATGATGCGGAGGGAATTAGAATTTGTTTCATTGGAGGAGGTGGCAATATGGCAGGGATGTCACTGGATGTAATGGCTGGAGCCTTATTGGATGCCTTGGTGACCAATTAGGATGGCTACCTAAACTGACCCCAAAGTTATCCTGTCAGGAATAATGGAGGTGTCCTGTTTCTTGCCCCCTTTCATGTGCCTTTGGAGTTCTACCTCATCTACCTTCTCATTCAAAGCAATGCACAGTGTTTATTGTGTTTCACCTTGGAAGCTTGTATGATTGAGAAAAGGGATGTGTCAGTTGCATATTGTGTATGATTTTGTTTCCAGCTGAAAAAAGACATGTATATTTGTATTGGAATCCTAATTAATATTCTCAACCCACGTCTTCTGTTGATTGACTATTTTCATTTCCATGATCTTTCCAAATACTTTGGTCTGGGTTATAGACAACTGGGTTATATAGAGGGGTTATAGCTAAACTTACCAACTTCCATTCTGTCATTACTAGGATTCCATCTGCCACTAAAACTCTCACTTTGCAATGGCAAAGGAAATTAGTTTTGAGTAAACCATGGTGAAATATCTTGCCAAATTATACTTAAACGTATGGTTAGTTATGCTGGTTTAACTTCAGTAGAATTGGGACAGACTAATAAATCTGGTACCTTGAGTAACGTCATGCTAGTTCCAGTATTTACTACTTCGCTCATTTTTTTTCATACTGGGTATTGCTGTGAAGTTGTACAAAAGTTCATTCTTTTGATTATTGTTGACGGGCAGCTGTACTTGTACTTTTTTCATCTTTTAAAAAGTTAAGACTCTTCAAACTAGGATCTTACAGTTTATATCAACTCATTAAAATAAGTAGACTTATTTTACACGCACAGAGAGTTTTAAAAAAACATTTCCATTTGGAGAAATATTAGGAAAAAGTGTAAAGTCAATTAACTGAAAGACCATTGTAACAACCTTAATATTCAAGGTACAAAATGTTTATTATTAAAATGTATAGCTTGTCACTGTATAAAGCAGCTAGAAATGCTATTAATTGCTCTTATATGAATCGTCTCAAATAGCATTTATTTCACAACTAGAGAAAGATCTGTATTGTCAATACTGGACATGTGTGAAAGGTAAATGTACAATATACTATTTAATGACCAAGATGAAGAGTGTATTCATGACAACATTGATCAGAATGCACCGTTCTTTCTCATTCTTTCTTTTTTAAAGGATATCTTAAATAACCTTGATTCATGTGATCTTGAAGATGATGATCTCATGCTTGATGTGGACCTGCCTGAGGACGCACCTTGTGAAAATGGTTAGTGAAGCCGTTTCTTGAACATTGTACATGAACAAAAGTCTCCAGGTCAAGAATGTAATATGTGCATCTAATGTGAAAGTGACAGTCACAACTGCAGTTAAGGTTAAGTTTTGCAGTTGAAAGGACTGGGCCACTTTGCTATGTACAAATTAATTAAAAATATTCTACTCAGAATTCAACAGTTACAGATGCAATATTTTCCTGCATATACCATACTCCTGAATGTATTACACACCCTGGTTTATACAGGCATCTTGGGACAAAGGGAAAACAATATTATCTTGAAGGGCAGGTAACTGATTTAGCACATGACACATGGCTTTGGAGCCAGAATGCAAAGTCAGCTGTATCATGCTGGGTCTGGGGTCACCCACTGGCTCCAGAGCCACATGCTACATCCAGCCAGCCCCATGCTTTGACCTTACTGGGGCCCGACCATGGACCATCTCTACATGGTGGCCTGACCTAAGGTGCAGGGGGCTGGCAGGTGGTGTGTGCTCCCTATGGGTCTGCAAATTTGGCCTGGGAAGGGGAAGTGGTGGCAGTATTAATTGATGGTTAATTTGTGGCTCCCAGAGCTGCAGCAGTTAGTTTTTTACCTGATGTTCTTTTGGGGAAACAGTGTGGGTTATATGAAATAAAATACAGTATGTTATTACTCTGGAAAACCTTATGATAGATGTGAAAAGTCCATGTGCAATGGAGAGGTGTGTGCGCACTTCACAGCTAAGTTAGCAAGCGGTAAATACATAATTTGCCATCCTTCTAATCAGTGGCAGATCACACAATTTATTGGGAATAGACGAAGCGCAATTTTTATCATCTTGTAATTGACAAAAAATCAGCTTTTATAGAACACACAAATAATTGTATCAATGACAAATATCACTTCCACCAAACTTCCATTTTATGAGAAAACTGTTGTAATAGGTTAAATAGTTCATGATTTTATTAATTGCGGTTATTTCATTAGAAAATATGAAAGGCATTCTTTTTTTAAAGATGGATCTATTTATTGATAAAACATGTCTCTTATAAATTCTTAAAATGTAAATGCAGCAACAGTTGAATTTGAACGACCTCATACAGAACCTGTTAATGACTGTTTAAAAAAAGGAAAGCTACCTATGTTCAAAAAGTTTAATATAACTGACAGTTAATCTTTATATAAGTGAAATGTAAATGTAAATGTCTTATGTTTTATTAATATATATTTTTAATGCTTCAATATACAAATTTAAATCACTAGCAAATCCATGCAAAAATTAAAATTCCTTAATCACTTCGTATCCAGGACATAATTTAAGAATGTAGAAGTTCATATTGTTTCAACTAGTGGCATAAGAGAGCCTGCTTTTTTTTTAATTAATAAATTATAATATCAGGCAATCTCTGAGCTATCTGCTATTTTTAGGATGGTTATTTTAATATAAAATGCTTGTGGGTGTGTTAAGAACCTTAGTGAAGATGCTCTTAAAGTTCTGTGTGGTGTATGTATCCATAAAACAATAGTTTTGTTTTCATGGGAATTTAGATCAGAAAAATGAATTACAGTGTTTAAATGTCAATAGAAAAACATCAAATCATTTTTGCTTGAGATTCATACTTCTAAATAAATTCATGGGTGTTTTTGTTTTATTTTGTACTTGTGCATAATGAGCTGTAGGAGGCATTTTAAAATGATTCTGTAATCCTTTTTTTAAAGTGAGCAGTTATATAAAGTTTTCTTCCCAACTCAGGGTTTTGTTATAGAGGTGGCCGTTAAAAAAGGAGACTAAGTATGATTATTACAACAAAACTTTCATTTAGGATTAAACTGAGTTTTTTTTAATTCACTTGCCTGTGGTCATTCTGATTTATACATGATTTTAACTGACATCAGTACCTTCAAGACTTATTAACAGGCTCCCAAAAACTTTCCTTGTTCTAGTCTCCGGAGTCTGGGTTAGTGCTAAAATGGTACTATTTATAGAAACAGTTCTACTCCAACAAGTATGTACATAGAGAGCGAGAATAGGAGTTTAAATCACAGGGTAAAACTGGGCTCGTTTCCCAACCACACACAGGCTCAGAACTAAGCAGGAAGGAAGGCCTGTTTATCGATGTCTTATGTGAAACTATGTCTGAGTAGGCAGCAGAATAAAACAGTGTACTGTTGTGCTTTTCTGGCAAAGGTCTGACAATGTGAGGAAAAGCTTTTTGGGTAAGTGGAAGAGAGAGGATAGTAGTTTGTAAATTTAATCTTTTTACTGTGTATGACTGCAGGGATTGCAGTTCGGCTTTGTTTGTAGTACTTTACAAGCTGTTGCCAGAGAGCTCTCATGATGAACTGTTTATGTGACCAGAAAGGATTTTTAAAAATATTGGGAGTGTTATGGTAAAGTCTATGACTAAAACTTTCCTCAAGTTGGAAAAGAGAAGTCAGGCTGGTAGTTACTTCTGGATACTTTTTCTAAATAGAAAAGTATTTTGCTGCTTTCTAAAATGTAGTATTTCTATGTTTGTGTATTATCTCTTGATAAATGTTTTTTAAAAGATCTTCCTGTAGGTTTTGGCATGTGGTGAAGCCTTAAGGCCTATAGATTCTATTAATACTACAGATTTTAGTAATCTAAAATTGTTTATTTTTAGAATATAAACACAGAAATTGCTACACTGATAGTAAAAAACCCAACAAAAACCCAAACCAAAAAACACTATAGGTGCTAACTTAGAATAATTCTTCTTCTATTTTCAGTTTATATTTGTGTTCAGTTTGAATTGAAAAAAGGTTGAGATTCTACTGTGCACCTGTTAGCAGCCTTTAAGATTTACTTGTATTTATGTAGATAATGAATATGTAAAATGTGTTAGACATAATAACCTTAAATCTTTGTAGTGGAATGTAAAAATATGAACCGTTATGATAGACAAGACAGAAATGCCCGAAAACAGTCAGAGGGATTCTGGAAGAGGGCGCAACAGTGTTGGAGTGCACAAGATCATTATCATCTTGGCCATCACTATCTCCATGGTAAAAATGATATTAGCAGGTAAGGAATTGTTGTGTAACTTTGTAATATAGTTTTTAGAAATTAATGTATTACAATGTGTAGTTTCTTTTGTCAGTAGAGCATTTCAGATTAAATGGAGGATGTAATATTTTTTTTGTTGAACCCTGCCCATAACTAGTTTATTTTGAGAGCATTCAGATTTATGCTGTAAATTTCTTCCTTTAAATCCAAAGCTTTTTCAAAAGTTCTTAATACACGTGTAACTAATTTTACCTTAGACTGACACCAACTTGGAAACTGAAGTATGTTGTTTCTATGTGGATTAGGACATGTTGTAAATGCCCAATCTATCATGCCTAATAAAATAAAAATCCCGTCTTCTTTTATTGTTTTGGGTTGTTGGGGTGGTTTTTAGATTAAGTAGTTTTTACCTTTGTATTAAAAAAATAACGCGGTAGTTTTTTTGTAAGCCAATTTATATAATAAATATTTGTGAGTATGGAGGTGCGAACGGATTCCGTGATTACTGGGAATTAAGATTATTAGACATTCGTATTTATAGTGCTACATTTGTAGAATATAGTATGAAGAGAACAGTAATAATTTTTTATATCTTTGTCTCCAGTAGAGATTTAGGATAGCTAAGCTAGGGACAGAAGTTAGGCAAACCAGTATCAGTGATTGTAAACTGGTTCAGATCTGTAACACAACAGACGTACAGTGCATATAAACCACTTTCAAAATGGCTGAGACCAGTTTAAGATGAACCTGGATGGATGTAGTATCAGGCTTAACTGATTTCAGTTAAATCCATTGATTGAACTTCTGTCCCAGATCCCCTCCAGAGTCAAGTTAACTCACAGGCCCTCAGCATCCCAGGATACTTTGCACCTCACCCACAAACTGTCCCATAAGCCCCGCAACCCAAGGATGGGAAGGCTAGGCTTGCCCCAAGATATCTGCTCCAGGTGATCAAGGAGGTGTGCTGTAGCGCTCCCTGGCTTCTGGCCTGAGCCACTGCAGGCATGTGGCTTCATTTCTGGAATCAAAAGTTAATGTCTGTTCACTTGCTTATCAGTTCAATATACACAGCTTGGACTAACCTGCGAAGATTGAATAGATTTAGTGTCAGGGTTTTTAACTGTCCGAATTTAGCTCTAGATATATGAAATATAAATTATTCCACTTTATACTTTGTCACTTTAAAAATGAGTGTTAGTGTTTTATGATTATGAACCTGCACACACACTATTAAAATGTGTAACTGAAAAATGTGTAACAGCAAAACGTTTTGAGCTTCAGACAAAGATTCTACTCTTAATATTAAAAATAATAATTCTTTCAGAGGATCCAAGTATGCAGAGTCTCCAGTTGGTCACTTTGAAAGTTATGGAACACCAAACTTTTACCAAGCTCCTAGACAATTTGTGGGTTTACCAGAAAATACTGTGATGCTTGATGAAATGACACTTCGGCACATGGTCCAAGACTGCACAGCTGTAAAAACTCAGTTATTGAAACTGAAAAGATTACTGCAACAGGTTAGTGTACTATAAAGAAAACAACATTTGGGACAAGAGTTGGTGGAGCTAAGACAACATCCGTGTCTGCCTTTACTGTGTTGTGATTTCGCTTTTCCTGGACAGTTACTTATAATGCTGTCTAAATATTTATTTTTGTGCATTAATTCTTACCATAGCCCCTTATACTGTCCAAACTTCTATTCAGTACATTTTCTTTAGGCCAGTGAGTTCCTCTATTTCTAACACTACAAGGGTACATGTAAGTGTCTTGCTTTTTAGAAAAGATTGTTAAATTAAAGAATCAGCATCTAATTTGATGCAGGTGAGAGATCTTATTAAATAAGATCCAAGAAAGGGGCCAAAAACAATATTTCTCTTCACTCTGCAAAAACTGCTCAAAGCATATAGATTTCTGCTTATAGTAAAATTCACCCGCCTTTGCTCATCTACTTCCTATTAACCCATTTTTCCTTGTGTTCCTGCAAGGTGCTTGGCAAGCCTTGGGGAAAATAGTTCACACGCAGTGTGGAAAATTTGGCTGCCTTTTCTTGTCATGTAAAAAATATGAGCTGCTTGAAAGAAGTCCCCTCAATTCATTTTATGTGTACCAAGCTTGACAAGTAAGTGGCAGAGATTTGGTAATCCTGAAACAGTGATGGACCAACCTTTTGGTTAGGAATGCCCAAAATTATCTCTGCACCATCACAATCCTCTTACCCTGGCCCATCAGCTGGTCTCCTTTCTGTCCCATGCCCCATCTGCTGCTGTGCTGCCTGTCCCCATGCCACTCAGACGTTGCCTGTGGCACACCTGCCACAGGTGCACCACACCTGTCCTAAAAGACGATTCTGCAAAATGTCAGGTTTGGTTTCAAAGATTATTCTTCAGACTGTTAGAAAAGAATTCTGACATTCTGGAGAGGAAGAGATTTCCACCAAAAAGACTTCTCTCTGCAAAAGACTTTTTTTTTTAATTTATTTTTTAATTTTTTTAAACATTCCTAGAATGGTGGTTCTCAACCTTTTTAGACTCGAGGCACTTCTCAGAAAATTCAGGCTCTTAGCTTTCATTATTTCCTCCCTCCTTCCCCATGGAAAAATAGAGCAGTTCTGTTGCAAATAACTCAAAAACTATAAAAAGTCAGATTTTTTTCATTAGGGATTTCTTCTTGAAAGCTTTGGATTTATTCTGCGAGTCAGATGCAAGTGTAAGCATATCTAACAGCGCTAATTTTATGTGCCACTGTCACCCTGTGGCACTGATAATCACTGGCTCAAAAGTATCTAGTAGCTTCAAGCTACAGTCACCAATTTAAAATGCCTGCCTGGTTCCCCCAGGTGTTCCCCTTCTAGCCCAGGAACATGCTTAGGAAGTGCCTCCTGCTGTCCCCAGCTGCTTGCTGTTGTCCCAGCTGAGCTTGGTGCCTTGTGTAGCCTGGCTGGAGAATGGAAATAATGGCTCTGGAGGCCACCCCATCACTCCCTCCTGGGTCTTCAGGGGTGGTAGCAGCAGCATCATTGGGGGATAGGAAGAATTTGAGGGGCAGGGATGGAAGTCGCTGAGCATGGAAGGGAAGAGAGGGAATGCCAGGCTGGGGGCAGGGACACAGTGCTTACCTGATTCAGGGACTTAAAGGCTCCTGTGATTGGAATGGGCAGACCATGCCACACGGGTAGTGTGGGGGAGAGGTCAGGAGTAAGGGGCAGCAACCCTTGTAGCAGTTATACCTTCCCCTGCACCCCTGTGTACAAAAACCTAGATCTGCTCATGTTGGCACTGGTACTAATTTGCAAATCTGATCACATTTTTCTTAAATAAAGTTCATAGGTACACATACGATACATCCTAAATTGTTTGTCACTTACTGTTTTGACGTGAGGAAACTTGAGATGCATTTGTTAACTTTTGTACAGCAATATTTCATACAGTTAATATAGTGCTGCAGAGGGAGTTATACTTTTGCAACCCAGTACGAGGGTATTAGTATGTTTCAAAAGGCACAGTCCCAGACCTTTTCACATTTTGGGCAGGACAAAATCCATGGCCAGAACCCTGGTAGGAGAGTTATTAAACCAGATGGGAAATCTGGCGACATGCTTTGCAGTTGACTGTGTAAATGATACTTATTGCAAATGGATATTCCCCTTGCAGACACAGAATATTTTAAATCTAACCGAAGCCTATAATATAACAGCCTGACTTTTCTAGAAATTGTTTCATCCCGAATGAAAAGGGAAACAACCAAAATAATTGCTATTTTTACTTTCTCAGTCTACCTTAATGAGTAGACTGGGAAGAATCAAAGGTACAGTAACTTATCACCAGGAATCCTGGTTTTCTCTGATAACAATACCAAATTTTCTGCTAAAATATCACAAATTCTCTGCTAAAACCCCCAAGATCTGTGATTTTAAAATTAAAGGTCCACCCACAGCTGTGCTGGTGCCCCTGCTCCCCCAGGCCTGCTGGAGGGGGGCCCCCAGCTGCCAGGGCTATGGACCCAGGTCTGCAGCCCCCTGCCCCCCATTCCCTTCCTCCTGGTGGCTCAGGTGGAGTAGCTCTCTGCTGCTGCAATCACTTTCAGGGGGCAGGGGGAACATGCACCCCCCAGATCTGTACCTGGAGCAGGCACAGGCTGATGATGCTGCCCAGCCAGGTGGGGCTTGGGGCTCAGGCCACAACGTGTGGCTTCAGGGCCCCAGCTGGGAGCAGGACAGGGCTGCAAGTGACTCGTCCAGGGGACGGGCAGGGACAGCTCCCCGCTGCTGCACACTCCTCGGGGGAACGGGGCACCTGCGCCCCCCCCAGATCTCTACTCGGAGCAGGTGCAGGCTGTAGGCTCGAGCTCCTGCCCTGCTTCCCTCCCCCATGGCCTCCCCAGCCCAGCAGGCGCAACCCAGTGTGCTGCAAGCTGTCCCCCTGTTGCATTGGCAATGTACCTTCAGTGCCTGCCGCTGCTTTGAGGGGCATAGCTCCATACCACTGCCCTCAATGCAGCCCTGTGTGCCAGTGGCTCATTTGGCGGGGGGGGGGGCGTGGGAGCAGGGGGAGGGTGGCGCCTGCCACTGCATGCACTGCTGGGCAAGCAGTATATACATCATTTTTCCTGTGTTTTAAAAGGCATTTCTGGAAAGTTTAACAGCTCTGTTAGCCACATCACCTTTGAATTATTTTTAAAACTTCAATGCATGGTTAATGGCTGTTAGGGTAGGATGTTGATGACAAGCATTTCTCTCACGTGCTCTTAAAATTTTCCTCTTGGCTCCCCTTAGCTTGAGTGCCTGGGGTGATCACCTTACTTGCCCTGCTTGCTACAGTACTGCCTGTGAACTGGGAAGCTGGGAGACAAAACAGAAGGGAGAGCAGCAAAAGCAAATATTTGCTTTTGGATATCCATCTGAACCAAATCTCCAAGGCCTATGGAAGACTTTATATCAATTATACCATGGCTTTTTTTGCACTGTGAAAACATTGCATCCTGTGCACAGCTGCATGTGCAAAGGGCAGGCTGTCAAGGGGAGGAAGAAAAGTAGCATGCCAGTTCGCACTGCTGCTGCTGACATCTAGCAACAGAGCTCTGTGAGTTCAACGCGGGTTCCCTCTCTCTCCCTATGCTGAGCAAAGCACAGAATGAGGTGGAAATTGACTCCCCCTTCCTCCCTCTGTACAGAGCTATAGGTGGGCAAAAACCTTTTCCCCAGTGTGGAGCACAGCCTGGGAGTTCACTCCCTCTCCTCCTGCCCTTACATGGAGCCATGCACATGGGGAAACCTCCCCCCCTGCACTTTGTGAGGAGAGGGAGGGAACTCCTGGAGCATGCTCTGTCCTGGGGGCAAGGGTTTTCCCACATGCCCTGAGGATTCCCCTGCTCACTTTGTACTCTGGGGTATGGGTTTGCTTGTGTACATGGCTCTGTGCTTTTGAGAAATTCTGGCCTATGTTGCTCTTTGCTCAGAGCAGAGAAAGGGAAGGAACCACTGTGCATGCTTCAGGTTGGGGCAGGGGTTACCAGCATGGAGCCTGGCTCTTTGCTTGGAAGCTTGTTTTCTTCCACCCTGCCCAGCACAGGGAGAGGGAATGCCTACAGCCTTGCTCTGTGCCTGTGGAAGGCTTTTTCACTTTTTGACAAAGGTTTGGGGTATGGAGAACCTCCACGAGAGAGGGGTAGATTTGATAGCCAACGGCTTTGCACATGCAGGAGTTAAGTCTCCTGTGAGGTGCCTGGCATAGACCTATCACCCAATGTGTGATATTCCACATGTCCAAATTAAAACTTGATAGAAACCATCTACAAAAACATTCAACATTTTCCAAGCAACATATAGCTGTTTTTATAGTTGGATAGTCATTTTTATCATGCTTTAATTATTTTACATGTGTAATTGAATAATGCATTTAAACTAGTTAACTGGCTACTTGCACAATAGACATAACCTGTGTTGGGGTGCAAAAGACCTAGAAACTAGGCCTGTGCAAGTCGGCAGCGATCCAATCTGGCTTTGGATCCAGCTGCTTCGGATGGCCACAATCCAATCCGGAGCTCCGGATCGGTTTGCCATTTCAATCCGGCCGAACTGGCTCTGAAGCTTCTATAACTTTGTCATTTTAGCTCCGATTGGGGTGCAACTTGCAGGGGTGGTAGCCTCTGCTGAGCGTATGAAGCCTGCCAAGTTTTAAGAAGATCGGTGCAGGGGTTTGGGGGTAACTGCACCCCAAATTATTGAATGCAAAACTCCTGTCACATCTATATATTACACCACAGGGGGCTGAAAACTGCAGGGGTGCTAGCCCCTGGTGAGGTCACAAAGCCTGCCAAGTTTCAAGAAGATCGGTGCAGGGGTTTGGGGGGAGCTGCACCTCAAGCTGCTGACAGGCAAAACTCATCATGTGGGTGGGTGCTTGGGTGACTGCGTCTGTCTTGGGGCACAGGGGGGTTAAATCTAGTGCTGGGCCCTGCCAGGTCACGAAGCCTGCCAGCCCAGCTGTGTATGTTTCGCTGGGGGAGTCTGTTGTCTAGG